ATATCTTGACATTTGGTGGGGGTCCCGTATTCATTCTAAGAAGCCCACAGTTAGACAATTATTGAAACAGTGTATACCTGCCTTTATTGTTTGGGAATTATGGGTTCATTATGCTTCGCTCAAATTTGGGGAGAAACAGGTTAATGTGCCTAGACTTATATTCAAGGTGAGGAAGGATGCTGTTGAGGCTGTGTGTCATAAATGGCCAAAATTATCGAATTCTATCAATGATTGGAAGGCCATCTTTACTCTCTCTGGCAATATATCTAAGGCCTTTCACTTCAAGGAATCTCTTTGGCAAAACCCACCTGTGGATACGGTTAAAATTAATGTGTCTTTGTGTTCTGATACAAATGGCCATGGGCTTACTGCTATGGCTCGTGATTCAAAAGGGATATTTCAATATGCTTATTGGCTAGCTAAACAGTCTTCTGTGTTGGTTGGAACTATTGAGTTACTTGTCATAATGCTTCAATGGAGCTTAAGTGCAGGATTTCAAGTACTACAGGTGGAAGCTGATTTTGAGGACCTTATTAATATTCTAAAACTTGATATCCTTACCTGCCCTCAATTGAGCAGACTTGCTTTTTTATTATCCTGTTGTACTTATACGGCCACCATTTGTGATAATCATGCTAATAGGGTGACTAACTTCCTGGTTAGATGGTGTTGTAACTAGCGTCACCCAAGTGGAGAATTTGATTGTATATTTGCTCTGCCTAAGCGTTGTCAAATCCTCTGTCAGTGGGACATCCAACGTGTTCCTGAGTTTTCACCTTCATCATCCTCATAACGTTGTGTGAACTGTGTTGGCTGTTTTGGATTGGTCTTCTGTGGTACTTTGGTCGTGTTTTTGACCTTATTGTGGCATTGGTCATGTTGTAGACTAGTAGTGTTGTTGTTAGCCAGGACCTTATTGTGGCTTTGGTCAAGCCGTAGACTAGTTGTTCTAGCTAGGACCGTATTGTGGCTTTGGTCAAGCCTGTTCTAGGCCCCCTTTCCCTTTCTTATCCTTTGTACTCCCCGGAAGGCTTGTCTTCCGTATGAGGGGCTGGCGTTAGGCCTTGGTTTGGTCCTCCCCTCACTTTGTGGTGACGCTGATATCTTAATAATACTCGGTAAGGGTTGCCTAGACCTTACCCCACCATACTTGGTGGTTTGCCCACTCGGATAAAAAAAATACATCATCATCAAAATCTATAATATTTTCCCAACAATTTCCCCCTTTTTGATGATGACAAACAAGTGTTTAAGAGTTCTTGTCGCTGTACTGAGAACAAATTTTATAACTTTCTTTTAGTTTCTCATAATATACAGCTTGTTAACAAAAACTCTTAAACAAATACAATTCAGATTACAATAATTCCTAAACCAAGTCTTGTCTTGAGATTTGTGATATTTTCTGCCATTTGCCGCTTTCACTTCCAGCAGATTTTGCTTGGTAGTACAGATGGCGGTGCGTTTGATAGATCTTTAATATCCAAAGTGGATATTTGAGATCTACGAACCAACATCTCTCCAAAAAAAGCAAAAACAAGAACAAAAAGAAAGTGGAGGGAAAGGAGGCGGCGGTGGAAGAAAAGAAAAAGACAGAAGGACAAGAAAAAGGTTTTGAAAAAAAATTGATTGTGAAAAAGATAAAATAAGGGTTTTTAAAGATGAAAATAAAATTTTGAAAAAGAATTTAAAAGAAAAATATGATAAAAGAAGGAAAAATTTTGAAAAAGTAATTTTAATTTAAAAAAATGCTTGGGAAAAGGGTGCAGAGACTGCACAAATAAAAGAAAGAAAAAATTTAAAAAAAAAAAAGAAGAAACAAACATGGAGAGAGTGTTGTTTCCAGAGAAGGTGTATGGTGTAATCCTAAAAAATACGAGATTTTCACCACAGACCTTCTCTACTACCGAGATTCTCACCATAGACCTTGAAAGTCTTTTCTTCTCATTAGGCTTTCTCCATTGCCGTCTATGAGGGTGAGAAAGAAAAATTTCTCCATTGAGGATATTCTTCTTGGTGTTTTTCTCAGATAGTGAGTTTGAAGACTTTTCATATTGAGAGAGTTGTTTGTGATAGGAATGAATCGGAATGTCTTGATTTAAATAGGAGAGGAGGTAGAGAGAGGGGAGGTTCACGAGTTCCATTAATTGGGTAGTTGGAACGGTGAGAGTAAAAGAGTTTCAACTTCCAAGAAGTTGAAAAGTAGAAGGAATCTTTTACCAGTTACCAATGTGTTGAAACTGTTCCAATTAAAAATCAGTTTCGTTTAGTTTGAAAAGTGTAACTGTTTTGGTTTGGCTAAGCCCAAAAGAGTGGCCCAAAAAAAATCTATGCACTAAAGGGAAACCATTCCTATTGGGTTCTCAAGGCCCAAAATAAAACTATCATTTTTCATTCCCTATAGTTCTAATTTCTAATTAGGACGAGGTAGTACAAAAAAAAATTGTAATTCATTTTTCCAAAGTCCTGTACATTATAAAAATCCTAAAGACCGGTACTTAAGAGCAAAGTTGGAAATGAACTAAGGATTAAAGCTCAGTTGAAGAAAGCAGATTTTGTGAAGTACCTGAATCAGAGATCTCCAACTTTAGTACTTAAACTGAGGTATCCGGCTTCCATTGCTTAGAGTTTATCAATAGTTCATTGCCAAAACCAATTGAAGCAATTGTTAGCCAAAAACAGTTAATTTCCCCCTGAATTATATTCCCCCTAAATGTATGCGCTTAAGCATAAATCTCAAGAATCACACTTAGAATGAATATGATCAAGCAAAATAAGCGTAATTAAGAGAACTATTAAGCAATGTTTAAACCAAAACTCATGTTTAAACAAGAAGGTGTTTTCATCAAAACCAAATAATGTTTTCACGTACTTCCCCCTGGTTTGATGAAATGAGCCTTCACTGCTTCCTGCGCTTTGATGATCCGGCAGTCTCACCAATGCCTTGCATAATTCCACACTGTTCTTTGATGCTCCTTAGATTGTTTTATCTCTCCTTTGTTTGTGCATCATCTGAGAAGTGGGAGGCAATGGTTCCAACAACTTTTGATCCATCAAGGCCAGAGTCTGTTAGATGTTGAGTTGAGTTCTCCGGATTGCTCTGCTGGGCTTCCAGTATCAGTTCCGTCATGTTCAGATGAGATGGAATGTAAGTGAGCTCTCCTTGCTTGACTTCAATAGGCAGCTGTGGGATCAGGGATGGACTATTGTGTTGGACAATTACATCTATCTTGCAATTGCCAGTGTAAGTTCCAAAGTGCCTGAACATCCTGAATGCTTCCTTCTGATTTTTAGCAATAACCTTTAAGTAGTCTTGGATCACCACCTGATTTGCTGAAGACACTGCCAATGCTGATCTGATATCCATCTGAAGGAATCCCATCTGCTTCTGAAGACTGACTGTGACAGTTGCTATCTGCTCCTTGATTCTAGTGATTTCTTTGAATTGTAGGTGGCTGTTAGATGCATAGGCTTCCATTGTGTTGCTCACAGAGTTACTCAAAAGAGAAATAATCTCTAGAGTCTTGTCCACGGATTTGCTTATCTCCTTGAGATCTAAGCAACTTTTTTCTTCGAATTTCTCCATCAGCTTGTTATGCCTAGCTTCCATTTGCTTTATCTCTTGCCTAAAGGAGGCATGCTGAGACGCTAGGGCTGATTCAATCAACCCTTGGACCTTTCTTGTCCAGTTTTCCGGTACCTCATCCGGAAGGGTGGATGTGGAAGAGCTGTGGAAGTGAAAGTTAGTTACCTGATGTGAAGAAGGTGCTCTGTGGAAGAGTTGCATAGGGAGAGATTCAGCATCTTCTTGCTCAGCTTCTCCATCATCAATCTTCAATGTCCTTTCAGACTCTTCTTCTGTCTCATCAAGCATAAAGTTTGAGACTTTCCTAGAGAGGGAATCTCTTTCTTCAACTCCATTCTGCTGCTCAAACACAGCTACTGGAGTTTCAGAGGTCTCCAGTCCAGCCATTTGAGTTTCCTTCTCAGCTTCTGCAGAACTTCTCTGGATTTCTACAGCTTGCTCTTCTTGGAATTCATTTGCTTCTGGAGGTTTGGACATCTCCAGATTTTCTGCTGACTTCCCCGGAATCTCAGTTTCAGTAGGATTGGAGATCTCACTAGGAGTTGTGAGAATCTCTAAAGCTTGAGATTGGAGAAGTTGCTGGAGTTCTTCTTCTGATGCTTCTTGGTTCTGTTCGGAGTAGAGGCTGCATTCTCCTGGTCAGCTTCAGTCAGAACCGTTTCAATGGCAGGGGAGGTTTCCAGGAAAATTTGGAAATCCTCAGCTGTGGCTTCCATATTTGCTTGTGCTTTAGTGGTAGGAGCCACCTGATCTTTTGTAGCCTTTGAGAAGATTGGCCTGTAGACTGCAGGATCCTCATCGTCAGCCTCAAATTCTGAAACTGGTGAGGTGACCAAGTGTTCCAGATGCAAATCTTCATAGTTCCTTTGCCATACCCAGTCAACATCCAGGATTTGCTCACAGCAATAGTTGACTGGCAGACCTAAGCATTTCTTGATGATCTTCTCATTCTTCAGTTGCTGGTCCCAACTCAACAACTGTTCTGCTGAATTTCCAACTTTCCAAGCTCTCCAGTCATAGTAGAGCTTCCAGAATTGATTCTCAGCATCATCAATTTGAGGTTGTGAGGAAGTTGGAGAATTCTAAACTTGAGGAATTTCTTTATCAGGTTGTTGAGGGTTCTGGTTGTGGGCAGATGTTTCCTCAACATGTTCCTTTCCCACCAACTCATCCGGGTTGACATTTCCAGATGTTGAGGGAGAGGTGATATTCCTCTTCTTTTTCATTTGTAGTTCTCTTTGGATAGAGATTTCTTCTTCTTCTTCAAGATTGACCAGAGCAAGATTCTGTGGTGCTTCAGCACTGGGAGAGGGAGACACCACTTGCTTCCTCTTTATTGACTTCTTCAGACTCATGATAAGGACATTGTCTGAAGAACTTTCCTCTGCATTTGCATTAGTGCCAGCTCTGTTTTCCCCTTTGGAAGACAGATAGTATAGCCAATATCTGGCATTATACTTCTTGCCTTTAGAGGCAACGGCCATGGACTCCAAGATGTACCCAAGGTACAGTCCTTGGTGGTCCCAAAGTGGTGAGATACAAAGTCTAGAGGGAGGGGGGTGAATAGACTTTGTTACAAATTTAAAAACTTTTTCGTTTCTTTTGAAAACATGAAAATGAGTGTTAATCTAGAGTTCTTGTGAACTTTAGATTGTGTGCGGAGTTTGGTGGGTAGAGTGAACAGTAATCAATATGAATGAGTTAGTTTTTCACAGTTAATGTAATTGCAAGTAGGAACAAAGATAAGAGAGAGAGAGACACGCAAACTTTAACGAGGTTCGAAGGTGGGGTAATCCTTCTACGTCCTCAAAATCCACTATGTAGTTGGTTGTTGAATAATGAACCAACAATTACACTTGTGTGAATTTCTGCATGGTATATCTTCGCAAGGCCACTGCACTCGTGCTGGCTTTGTTGTTCCTTCGAAGGTCACGCTTCTTCAACAACTGCAAGGTCCGAACAATAGGACTTGCAAGATCAACTTGTGAGAAAGTTGACCTACCCCCTTTCAAAAGTTGTATCCTTCAACGTGGTGTGGTTCTTGAGGTAAGGAAACCTTCAAGTGTTTACACTATAGCTCTTTGGTAGGAGGAGAAGTTTGCTTATGGATAAGGAGTTTAGAAATCTCTCTTTATCAAGCTTTTTGGGCTAACTATGAATGATATAGCTTTGTTGTTAGAGATTGCTTCGTTGTGGTTGTCTATCTCATCGTGTCTTCTCCAGTCTTCCAAGGATGCTATTTATAGCTGGATTGGATAATCTATCCGTTGAATCATAATAGACTATCTGTTGCATTTGCTGGCTTCAATTTTGAATGAAGATTGTGATTTGAAGATGGGTGTTTGGACATACCCAATTTGTTGAGGAGGGATTTCTTTTTCCACAGAATCCGTCTTCTAGCTGTTGTTCAAGAATTCTGGACTGTAGCACTTTACTCTGTTTGTCTTCTAGTGCTTGTTTAGGAATTCTGGACAGGCTCTTCAATTTTTAGAGGTCCATATTTTGTCTTCGAGTCATTTGTTCTTGAATCAGCATAATTATCTTCAATCTAGCCGTTGAAAATCAAGAGATTGATTTTTCCTTACCAACGGGTAGAATTTCTTCATTCAAGACTTAGATAATTTTCTAAGTCTTTTCTCACTTGTCCGCTTTTTGAGAATTCCGGTCTTTCTTGAGATATCCGGTTCTTGGCTAACAAATCCGGAAGAGTCGTTCTCAGTCTTCCGGGTGAGAAAGAAATCCACGCTAGTCTTCCGACTTAGCCTTCAGCGGGTTGTAGCGAGACATCCGGTTCTCATGTAGTCTTCCGGATTTGAGGATTTTCATCCGCTTTGAGAAATCCTTACTTATCTCTGACATTTCCGATCAAGATATCCAATTTTCAAATCACTGAATTAGATTAAGTCTTCAGGCATCAAACCGCTTAAAGAAATATCACAACTTTATTGGAAATCTCAAGAACTCGGTTTTAAAAATATTTCTAAAAAGAAAAATTACATTGAATATTGGGGGAGACCTAAAGTCCCTATTACATTCTAAATACATCATCATCAAAATCTATAATATTTTTCCCAACAATTTCCCCCCTTTTTGATGATGACAAACAAGTGTTTAAGAGTTCCGGTCGCTGTACTGAGAACTAATTTCATAACTTTCTTTTAGTTTCTCATAATATACAGCTTGTTAACAAAAACTCTTAAGCAAGTACAGTTCAAATTACAATAATTCCTAAACCAAGTCTTGTCTTGAACTTTTGTGATATCTTCCGCCATTGACCGTTTTCAGCTTCATCAGATTCTGCTTGGCAGAGCAATTGGCGTTGTGTTTGATAGATCTTTAATATCCAAAGTGGATATTCAAGATCTTGGAAGCAACACATCTCTCAAAAAGCAAAAAAACAAGAACAAAAAACGAAAGAAGAAATCAAAAGAAAATGTATAAAGACAAGAAGGAAAAGGTTTTGGAAAAGAGAATTGATCGTGAAAAAAAAGATAAAATAAAGGTTTTTAAAGATGAAGGCAAAAATAAAAATTTGAAAAAAAATGTTTGAGAACAGATTCTGCACAAGAAATTTTTTTTAAAAAAATGCTTGGTTGAAGGGTGCAGAGACTGTCTAAAAAAAATAAGGTCCAGAAAAAGAAAGAGAGAGAGGGGAAAGAGATCAAGGTAAAAATAAGAAGAAAAGTAGAGAGAGTGTTGTTCCAGAGAAAGTGTGGTATAATCCTGAAAAATACGAGAATTGTACCATATATTTTCTCTACTGCCGAGAATTGCACCATATACTTTAAATTACTTTTTCTTCTCACTAGGCTTTTCTCCATTGCCGTCTATGAGGGTGAGAAAGAAAAATTTCTCCATTGAGGATATTTTTCTTGGTGTTTTTCTCAGACAATGACTTGAAGACTTTTCATGTTGAAAGAGTTGTTTGTGATAGGAATGGATTGGAATGTTTTGATTTAAATAGGAGAGGAGGTAGAGAGAGGGGAGGTTCACGGGTTCCATTAAGAGAGTAGTTGGAACAGTGAGAGTAAAAGAGTTTCAACTTCCAAGAAGTTGAATTCTGAAAAGTTGAAGGAATCTTTTACTGATTAGCAAAGAATTGAAACTGTTCCAATTAGAAAATCAGTTCCGTTTGGTTTGAGAAACGTAACTGTTTTAGTTTGGCTAAGCCCAAAAGAGTGGCCCAAAAAGAAAAGAAAGCTATGTACTAAAGGGAAATTATTCCTATTGGGTTCTCAAGACCCAAAATAAAACTATTATTTTTCATTCCCTATAGTTCTAATTTCTAGTTAGGATGAGGTAGTACCAAAACAAATATGAAATTTATTTTTAAAAGAAAAGTGGTACTATTTTTCCAAAGTCCTGTACATTATAAAAATCCTAAGGACAAGTACTTTTAGAGCTAGTTGGAAATGAATTAAGGATTAAAGCTTAGTTTAAGAAGGCAGATTTTGTAAAGTACCTGAATTGGAGATTTCCAATTTTAGTACCAAAACTGAGATATCCGTCTTCCATTGCTTAGAGTTCATCAATAATTCATTGCCAAAAATAATTGTTAGCCAAAAACTAGTTAAGTTCCCCCTGAATTACATTCCCCCTGAATGTATGCGCTTCAAAAAAAATTCTCAAAATCATACTTGAGATAAGCATAATCAAGCATAATAAGCACAATTAAGAGACATATTGAAGCAATGTTTAAACTAATCAAGCAATGTTTAAACATGAAGGTGTTTTCATCAAAACAAATTAGTGTTTTCACATACTTTCCCCCTGGTTTGATGAAAAGAACCTTCAGTTCCTCTTGCGTTTTGAAGATCCGGCAGCCTCACTAATGCCTTGTATGTTTCCACACAGTTCTTTGATGCGCCTTAAATTGTTGCGTCTTTCCTCTGTTTGGACATCATTTGAGAAGTGGTCAACAATTGTTCCTATAAACTCTGTTCCATCCAGTCCTGAGCTGGATAGATGTTGTGCTGAGTTCTCCGGATTACTTCGCTGTGCTTCAAGGATCAGATCAGTCATGTTCAGATGAGAAGGAATATAAGAGACTTCTCCTTCTTTGACTGCAATGGGGAGTTCTGGTATCAAGGATGGACTGTGTTGTTGAAGAATCACTTCCATCTTGCGGTTTCTAGAATTTGTGCCAAGAGGTCTGAACAGTTTGAATGCTTCCTTCTGATTGTCAATGATCACCTTCAAGTAGTCTTTGGTCACTACCTGATTAGCTGAAGATACTGCTAGGGCTGATCTGATGTCCATTTGGAGAACAGACATTTGCTTTTGTAGACCAACTATGACGCTTGCTATTTGCTCTTTGACTTTGTTAATCTCCTTGAGTTGAAGATGACTGTTAGAGGCATATATGTCCATCGTGTTGCTCACAATTTTCCTCAATAGAGAGATGATCTCTAGAGTCTTTTCCACTGATTTGCTTATTTCCTTGAAATCTCCGCTGTGTTTCTCTTCAGATTTCTCTATCAGCTTGGTGTGCCTGGCTTCCATCTGCTCTATCTCTTGCCTAAAGGAGGCATGTTGAGATGCTAGGGCTGATTCAATCAACCCTTTGACCTTCTTTGTCCAGATTTCCGGTACCTCATCCGCAAGAGTAGGAGTGGAAGAGCTATGGAAATGGAAGTTGGTTACCTGATGAGAAGAGGGTGTTCTTTGAAAAAGTTGCATAGGAAGAGATTCAGCATCTTCTTGTACATCTTCTTCATCAATGATCTTTAGTGTCTTCTCAGACTCTCTTTAGAGGCCTCCAGTTCTGCCATTTGAGTTTCCTTCTAAGCTTCTGCAGAACTCCTCTGGGCTTCTACAACTTGCTCCTCTTGGGCTTCAGTTGTTTCTGGAAAAGTGGACTGATCCATATTTTCTCCTGACTTCTCGGGGATCTCAAGTTCAGGCTGGTTGGATATCTCACAAGCAGTTGTGAGAATCTCAAGGACTTGAGACTGGAGATGTTGGTGAAGTTCTTCATCTGATCCTTCCTGGTTCTGTTTTTGTGGAGTAGAGACTGCAGCTTCAGGTAGAACCGTTTCAAAGGCAGATGAGGTTTCCGGAAATATTTGGAAATCCTCAGCTGTTGCTTCCAAGTTAGCCGGTGCTTCAGAAGTGAGAACCACCTGATCTTCTGTGGTTTTTGAGAAGACTGGTTTGTAGACTGCAAGATCCTCATCATCCACTTCAAGATTCACTGTAACAAGGTTCTGTGGTGCTTCTATACTGAGAGAAGGAGACACCACTTGCTTCCGTTTGGCAGTTTTCGTCAAATTGATGAGTAGGACATTGTCTGAAGAACTTTCCTCTGCAGTAGCACTAGCACCAGCTCTGTTTTCCCCTTTTGAAGACAAATAGTATAACCAATATCTTTCTTCATATTTCTTTCCTTCAGAAGCAGCACCCATAGACTCCAAAATATGTCCAATGTACAGACCTTGACAAAGATACTTCTGATTGTGCTTTTTGTTGTGATATTTTATTTACTCGCAAGTGCACGAATCGTACAAAAGTATAGCAACGCAAATACGAGGTCGATCCCACAGGGACTTGATTATGTGAAGAATTTTATTCTAGATTCAATTGAATATTTCTAATCTAGTTGGACAAAATTTAATATTAAAAAGAAACAACTAAATATGAAAGTGAATAATTTTAAAGAAAACATAAATTAAACAAAAACTAAAGATTTTACTAACTACTAAAAATTAAGAGATTAAAAATAGGTTTTCAAATACGAGAAAGAACTAGGACTTGGAATCCATTTATATATTCAAATGTAATTTTTACTCAATCATTATTTTTTCCAAACTCAATACGCATGATAATCTCGCAACCAAGTCTCGTTATCATGGAGGATATATCAATTAAGCTCTAAAAAACAATTTCTAAAATATGTTATTTTTCAAAGTTTCAAGAGAAATTCAAATCATTAGTTGTATCTAAATCACAACTAATATATGCTCTTTTAACTTGTCAAACAATTATCAGGTTTACTCAAAGCATGAGAAAAACAGGATTGAACTCATCTAAAAATTAACCCTAATAATCAATTGGAAAAATAGACAATAAACATTTAAGATCAGTATGGAAAAATAAATGATGAGTAAAAATCAAATTGAATATATAAGTTTCATCCTCGCCCTAACTATGGAGTTTAGCCAAACATAATGTAAAATTCAACAAAATTGATAGTAAAACTTGACATAATTAAAGAAGAAGGGGAGAATTAAACTCTGAAATTGGAGGAAGAAGGGAATCCAAGGCTGTTGAGTCGCTGCTCCTCCTGCGGCAGCTACGGCGGCTACCTTCGTCGGCTAGTTTAGGGAGACGAGATCCAGAAGACGTCTGTTTTTTTCCGTTTCCAGCCTCCTTTCTTTGAGATGCGGCTCTCCTCTTTATATCCATCATGTTTGTCTCTTTTTTTTTTTAGGTTTCAATTGGGTTGGGTTGAGATGGAATTTGTATAGCAATTGGATAAAACTTTCACATGGACTTTAAATCTTCAATTCCATTAAAGCTCGGCCCAATTCTCCATCCCTTGAACTTAACATCTATTTTTTATTCCAAAGAGTGTATCTGAAAATACATATAAGAGAAATTAATTTAAACATAAAATAAAATAAAAACTTTACCGAACTTATGATTTTAGTGTAAAAATATAACAAGTAGCCTAAAGAGCCAAATATTTCATTATACCCTTTATTTTCACATAAAATGCATTAAAAATATAATAAAGAACTAAAGTACGACCAAATAAAATGTGACAATTTGTAACGTATCAAATACCCCCACACTTAGTCCTTTGTACGTCCTCGGGCAAAGTAAATACCAAAAATCATAACTCTCTTTTTTTAACATTAGAACTCAAAATAACTTCTATATCTTATAACAATATAAAGTGATGTATTTGAACACTAATCAGAAATTAATCATATACCAAATAGAATGAATTCTTTAAAATTCAATTTGCTACTTTAAATTTTAAACAATTCTTTCACTTCAAAACTAAGTAGAAATTACTTTTATTCAATGTCAAAACTTTGAATTAATTAAGGCCATTGAGAATAATTTAAAAGAAATACATAGAGCAGCAAAAAGTGGTTAGAAATCCTAAGGAACCATCAAGTAAAGAAATGCTCAAGAAAATTTATTTTCTTTTCTAAAATCTGGAAACTTCAATTTATTGCTTTTATTTAGTATTTAATTTTTTCCATTGTTTGAGTTGACCCGTGTAGCGAGTCTCAACCAGGCTACCCCAGGCCCATTCCAGATAGCCCAGGACCTAAATAAACAAAGTATTTCGAGGGTTTCAACTCGAGTGCTCAAACAATGTTTTATTCATTTATTTTCTTTTATATTTCTTTTTTTTTACCTAGCCATTTATTGCACTTTTTTTTCTTTTTTGGCTCAATGGCGTCGGTTTGTTTCTTATTATTTTAAACTGGTTATGGACGAGATTCTTACGGCCCAAAACGGGGTTTGCTCTTCCGACTTAGGTTTTCTCCATACACAACATCACTTCCTTTTGGGATTCATTGCTTAAGGGGTCAAAGGTGCCGGGCCACCCATTCCAACCTAAGATGGTGTTCCAGTATATATATTATATTCATTTCAGCATCTTGATAATATGTAATTAACCAAAGTTTAGAGAAGAAAAAATATTTTCTTAAGACTAACTTAACTTGAATAGAAACTTAGGATGAAAAAGAGTTAGAAAACTGCTCCATATACTTCTAAATAAATTAGGCACATTGATCTTAACTAAAAAAAAGGCAAGAGATTAAATAAAAATAAGTTCTAAATAAATTTGATTTAAAAGATACGTTTTAAATTTTAGAGTAGCGAACTCATTTTTTTAAGAAGCTCAAACATATTTGTTACAATATTAATTTCCATATAATTCCAAAATACAAACACTTAAGTGCTAAAAGATTAAGAAGTAATTATTATGAATTGTAATAAGTTTTTTTTTTTGAAACACGCTTCCAACTATTATAGTTTTCTCTAAAAAAACTTTAAAATTTTTGAATTTGTTTAACCAAATTGCATCTATTATGCAGAATAAAAAATCTACCCAACCCATGTTCCTCTAATATCTAGTATGCATAGTAAAAACATGCAAATAAATTTTAACAAGTATATTCCAAAAAAAAAATGCACAACTAAATGTAAGTGTCCCCCCCCCACACTTAATTCATGCAATGTCCTCAATGCATGTCAAAGTTATAAAATAAAAAAAACCTTTACACATACTAGCTAAAGCTATTTAAAAACATGGAACATGGAATGAGATTAAGGAACGAAAGCATCAACAGCTCAAAAAAAAATATTAAGCAAAATAACATCCCTGAAAACATTGGGTTGCCTCCCACTAAGCGGCATTGTTTACTGTCGTTGGCTCGACTTCACGTAGCTCTCCAATAAGTTTATGTCTCCACCTGAGAAACAAATGGCAAGACAAAAAAAATAAAAGGAACAAATAACTAGGGCAAATAAAAGGTATTTTTTTTGGCCGACACTATATACATCCCCATACAAAGGCACCGAACTCTGGGAGGCACTTAAGCCGACTCACTAAGATTTAAAAAAATAAAGAAAAAGTGAATAATATAAATAAATTAGTCCTGGTAAACAGGATCTTCAATTGTGATCTCCTCGATCTCTGGAGATTTTAGCTCATGAAAGGGTTTCAATCGTTGGCCATTTACCTTAAAAACAGCACCATCCTTGGGATTTTCAATTTCAACAGCCCCATGAGAATAAACAGTGCGAACAATGAAAGGACCAGACCACCGAGATCTCAACTTACCAGGAAACAAATGCAGACGAGTATTATAAAGTAACACTTTTTGGCCAGGCTCAAAAGATTTCCTGAGAATATTCTGATCATGCACTCTTTTCATTCTTTCTTTGTATGATTTAGCACAATCATAAGCATCATTTCTAATCTCTTCTAGTTCATTAAGTTTCAATTTCCTCTCAACACCGGCTTGCTCCAAATCAAAGTTTAAAGTTTTAATAGCCCAATATGCTTTATGTTCTAATTCAACAGGAAGATGACATGCTTTTCCATAAACCAAACGATAAGGAGACATGCCAATGGGAGTT